CTGTTGATAATTTTCAATATGTTTAACGACAAACTAATGTTAGTAAATAATGAGATGATGTAGTTGAATAAGTTGGATATAACATATATCAGAAAATCAAGCAGTAAGACACATATTGTACATATTTGTATCGCATACATCAGGGTATGGGTTGTAATAGTAGCGAGTCAATCCATCAAATAACCGGCTGCAACAACTGCACCCCAATTTATGCTTCGTGACGGCCTGACAGATATCAAATATGACTACTGTTTAGTCTATATTTTTTTGTTCCATCTTTTCATCCATGATTCTATCCAGATCTTGTTCTGTTTAGTCTATAATTTTTCGTCTTCTTTTGGTCCATGATAATGATCATTTGTTGATTTTTATCTTTTTATCACTTCAGATATTATCCCATTGAGTTTGTGACTGTTTAAGTATTAACAAGTGGAGCAAACTTAATGGAGATAAAACTTGATCAATAGTAACATTCGATAACTTGAAGATATAGAGGTCGCTCAAAAATGGTATTATCTTTGAAATTTTTTTGGTTGCATCGCAATAATGGCATATGGCAAACGTACGATAAAAATGAATATTCAGTTACTGCTTATTTGTGATTTATCTTTAATTATTAAATATTTGTTTTTTATTTCATTAATTTAATTGCAAAACTCTTATTAATATGCGAAAATAAATATACTCACGATACTTAATTTGTATTTAAGCATATAATTACAAAAAATTATGCAGCAAGAAAAAACATTGTAATCATTGCGTAATCAAGGGACAGAAATAGTCAAAATCGTCAAAAATTGATTATATAATACTTAAACTGTCCTTTTCCTGTACGTTCGCCTGTTTATGATCATATTCAGATACACTTGACAAACAAAGATGGTTGTCATTATATCGGTCACTCCACATAATTATGACGACGACTTCATCAGCGGCTTCAAGTAAAATTGTGATAGTCTTTCTATACTCTATTTTTTTTCAGATCCTTTCCAACACGAAGTAGAAGTCTTCCACATTGATACCAATAATTTAAAAAATGCAGTTTTTGTTTCGACAACAGTTTGCAAAGATCGCGATAACAATCAATATATTGCAATAGTCCTCATTAGTAGATCTCAAGCCATCATTAATAATAATCGATGCAAGATTCTAAAATAAATTAAACATTCATATATAAAAAACTCAAAAAATCTATTTCATCATTTCGTATTTCTCTGCCACCTTCTATCACTTTAGGAAAAAAATTGAACCAAATTTTACTTAAATTAGATACAAAGATATATTTCGAATCTAACATCATACATTTTCATTTGTATAACTTGTTCTGTAGAGAAAATGGTTTTCTGTTGTGCACTATTCTTCTTCTCTCGTATTGGCGTGGAAATATCAATGCAGAAAGAATATATGTCGCAATTGAGTTTAGATTTTGACAAAATGCCTCAAACAATTCGTCTCAGATGAAGCTAGTACATATTTCAATTTTTATGTCATTTTCGGTCTCTCTCAATTAGTTCTACATTAGAGATATCATTTAAATCTCTTTCGAGAAATATAGAATAGCAGTCAGCACCATTTATCTTCAGAATGGACAACGAAGACATGCTAATGTGGAAAAAATGTGGCGAGACAAACCCAAGATTTTTACAAAATGATCTAGAAAGAGTCAACATAGTTAAAACCCACTTGTAACGTTATATGTGACACAGCGCCGTTTCCTTGATAACTAAATTACATGGCACAAAAGATTAAATGTTCTAAATATATCAGTTTGTTCTTTCACTTTGACAGCGCTACATCGCGGACATAAGTCAAATCAACAAACTAAATTTGTGACTTCCTGTTGTATTTTCCAGGTAGCTAGATGCAATAGAGTTTGGGTTTACGAAAGCATTTATAAAATAAACAAACTTTTCCAAAAACACCTATAGCCACATTTACCACGATTCTAACAAAAATATAAAAGAAAAAAGTTGAATATCTCACCATCATGTTCTTCATTCTCCACTATTAGACGAAAATTTCAATTAGGATACATCTTAACGCCTGACAGTATTGTGAAAAAAACTACGCCTCTTTAACAACAAACAACGAACTCATATTTTGTCGAGTTCCATATCCAAAATGTCTGACTGACTAGAGTAGTCCTATAAAAAGCATCACCAGTTAGAAACTCAGCTAAAAATAAGCCTCATCCGTGGAAATCTAGTTGTAAAACAGCTCATTGAAGAACAACTTATCGCATACGTCGGATTAACCGAGTTTTAAGTTTGAAAAATTGAACCGGTACAAAGCCCAATATTAAAAGTACGAACATCAACAAACACTTCGCCATGCTGTTTTTTTTTGCGCCTCACGTTTCACTGGGACAATAACAGGTAAACATTTATTTTGTCTCATATAACTCTTTCTATACGATATGAAACACTAATTTCACCAAAAACATTTTCCCATGAACCCAAAAAAACAATTCAAAATTTTGAAAATCTGATTTCTGATTCGGATTCCCCGACCCCGATTTACTTTCGTCAACCTTTATAAAATATCGTTATTTTCTCAAAAAACCCTTCCCTTGACCCAAAAAATTCAGTTCAAAATTTTGAAAATCTGACTTCAGATTCGGATTCGGATTCCCGGACCCCGATTTGCTTTTGTCAACCTTTATAGAATATCGTTATTTTCTCAAAAACCCTTCCCTTGACCCAAAAAATTCAATTCAAAATTTTGAAAATATGATTTCAGATTCGGATTCCCGGACCCCGATTTACTTCCGTCAACCTTTATAGAATATCGCTATTTTCTCAAAAGACCCTTCCCTTGACCCAAAAAATTCAGTTGAAAATTTTGAAAATCTGACTTCAGATTCGGATTTCCGGACGCCGATTTGCTTTCGTCAACCTTTATAGAATATCGCTATTTTCTCAAAAACCCCTTCCCTTGACCCAAAAAATTCAATTCACAATTTTGAAAATATGATTTCAGATTCGGATTCCCCGACCCCAATTTACTTTCGTCAACCTTTATAGAAGAGAACTTAAAATAGATGTTTTTTTGACCCTAATGTTTTTTTGACCCTGCCACAAACACACAAACTATTTTTTTTCATATGACCCTCCCTACAGTCGAGGGAATATAAGCTTCATTAGTCTTTCTTTCTCTTTTCTTGACAAATGCTTTCACCTGTTTGAGTCGAATTATGCTTGAGAAAAAGAAAGAAAAACATTGCATTCTCATACTGGTATTTCGTTTTAGTATTATCAATAATGTTTGCATTCTATTGTTTTTTTTTCCTTTCACTTACACTTCGATGTCATTGATTCATCTGTCACCTATGATGGTATCTAGTGTTGATTATCAGAAAACACAGTATATCATCTTATTGTGCTCATAAATTTATCAAAAATGAATCATTAATATCAGAACTTTTTTTACAACTCGAATAATACACGTAATATTTGCACAGTTTTTTTCCTTTCTATGTTCGTCTTACGAGGCTATAAAAACAAATAATCACATCAGTGAATATCTCTATTCGAGTAGATTAAACGTAACCGAAGATAAGGCAGAAACGATGGTCTTTTTATTGTTCACTTTTCTCCTTTTTTTCTATAAACACTAATATGAATGTGGAACTGCCGATTTTCTACCCTTGTGGATCGGCAAATGTAAATCTTACGGTGTCTTGACCATTGCTTGGCCAACTCAAAATGTCGTTGTTATTGCTACGTTTGATGGAAAAATAGAAGAAGCTAATGCATAATCCAAGTCAACAAATTCAATAAATACATGTCAATTAAATATATGGTTTTGATTATTTCAAGAAAAATAGAATATTCCTGATTTTCTGTTCGAGAAACAGTACAACTATGAAGCACAGCGCTCTTGTTAGATTTCATTTCGTATTAGTGTAAAGTGTTCGTTTGTTAAGAAAAATGAACTTAGAAACTTTTTAGCAGCACTTGTAATGACATTCATCGAGAAGTTACGATTCAAGAGTAATTCATGGGTGTGTTAATGTTTCATCTTGTTTTTACCCAGAAAAAAATAGCACGACTAAAACCACCGATGAACCCATGGGCAATAAATTTTTAATCTTTAAAAGGAAGAGATAAATCGTGCTCCTCATTCTTGATTATCACTTTAACTCTTGTACCTTTTTGACGTGTGCGTGTGGGGTGTGTGTGGGGGGGGGGGTGCGTGTGGGTAGCGGCAGAAATTCACTTCTACACATATGCACACCACCCACACCCACACCCCACACCCCACACCCACACCCTCTCTTTCGTCCGAGCCAATGCATGACTGCCATAAAAATGCTTTCAAAAGAACACAATATTTCTCAATGTGCTTTGTCATCATGTACGGTAAAAGGTGGTAAGTGCAATTATTCTTACTTTGATTAACATACTATAAGAGTCAAGAACGCAAAGTAGGAAAAAACCCACTATACAACTTGTGTATACCTGAATATAAAATTGAGCCAAAACAGAAAAATTAATCGTTATCAAGATGATGAGTAGTATAATTCAAACATATGCAACGTCACCATGCGTTGGACCTATAATATTTTATTGTATTTTCAAACAAAACTTTCCCAAAATGTGTCATTTACATCGGTGTCACTTTTATCAATGGTGAAATATTTTTATCTCATATGGATTGGATAAATTACAACAGCGTCAGATGAATGTATCAGATGTTAAATCGATCGAAAATTCATTAATACTGAACAAATACGAAGACTTGCTAATAGTTTGGTGTGACCATCTACGAGACGATTCTGAAATGATGAGAACATTGAAAGAGCTTCATGATCATATTCATTTGTGTTTAACAGTAGACACGAATTACGCAACTATATTGATAGTGTTAATGAATCGTACAAAATAATTATTATAGTATCGGGAACCTATTCACATTCTGTATTATCTTTATTTTCTGACCACAAACAGATTGATCTATTCTTTATATTTTGTAAAAATGATAGGCAATATCAATTTTTAATGATGGTGTATTCAAAAAAATTGGTTGGCATCTACACTGATTATAATACATTATTTGCCGTTCTAAATAAGCAAATTCATCATGTATTTCGACATTTATCAATGTTTAAAATTTTCGCCTATAGTAACCGATCATTACGTAATTTGGAAAAGGAATCACCTAGATATTTATGGTACAAACTATTATGCGACACTTTACTACAAATGGATAGAAATAAAGCCAACGATAAACAAGAGTTTCTTGACTTTCGTCGTTCGTAATGATTCAATAAGTTTAAAAGTCATTGATGATTTTGAAAAAAACTATACATCATCCGATGTTATAAGATGGTACACAACAAATTTCTTTCCGTTTAATTTTGTTAATAAAGCACTTCGAACAGAGGATGTTAGTGCACTCTACAAATTACGATACTTTATCGACAATCTGTATGACCAGTTAAGAACAATATTTGTCGAGGATTATTCATGGTACGAAGAATTATTTGAACCATGTATTGTTTATCCTAGAGTAACTTTATCTGATAAAGATATTGAAATTCTGATGGATAGTACAGGAAAGTACGTTTCAACGAATGGTTTTTTATCGACAAGTCGATCACGAGAAGTTGCTAACCGATTTGCCGATAATGTTCTTTTTGAAATTAAAATTACATTAGGATCAAACACTAAGTATAATATATTCGCTTATGTAGCCTATATGAGTATGATACGGGACGAGGAAGAAGTATTATTTGATCTTGGTGCTGTATTTCATATTATAGATGTAAGACAACAACAAGAAAAATGCATCCTTTCTATGACAGACATTTTGGAAAATAACTTACCGTATTTCAGCAATGATTATTTGAATATCGAAAAATAGTATGCAATCAATCTGAATATGAGACCAGCGATGATGTACGGATTTTTCATATTACAATCAGGTCATTATTATAAAAGTATTGACTATTTTAATGAGCTGCTAACATGTGCAAAAGAGTTGAATAAACGTGAGCGTCGTCTTCTTTTTAATTATCTGGCACATGCTTACCAATATGATTCTCAGCCTGAAGAATCGTTTAATACAGTAATGAAAGGACTGCTAGAAGAAAACGAAGACTTGCAATTATCGAAAATATCTCAAATACGAAGAATAACAGAAATTGACGAGCATTTATTACATCTATTACGCACAACATCATACGAACAACGCATTGAGCTATCGGATTATTTAGCATATCTTTATATGCTCTTGGTTCAGTCTATGCAAATAAGGATGAGTTTGATTTGACATTTCATCTTTACACAATGACTGATTCATATATGCGAGTTACTAATTTTCAACTTGTAATATCGCTGCAATTACTTCTTGCCCTTTTATTCTATCAGAAGGAAAACTATTCTGTTGCTTTGGAACATGGTAAACAAGCAATTGGGTTAATCGAAGGACTTAGTTCAGTAGATTATCAAACAAAAGCAGATGTATTTGAAACAGTAGATAATATTTATGCTGTAACTGTTACATCTTATCCATTAGCCATTGAATATTTTGAAAGAACATTAGAATTGATCAATACAATGTACTATTATAACTCATCAAGAAAGGCTAATTTATTGTTAAAGTTAAGTGGTTTGTATGAAGAAACAGCAGAGATTGACAAAGCAGTGAGATAATGAGCAGAGAGTTTGGAAATATTTGAAAAGTGTGCCATTGACGGTTTTTTTAGAAAAGAACTCATCGAGTCATGTTGAATTTTCCCATTTATAGCAAAGTCAATTGTTAGATTAGCTATTTCAATTAATGATTTCGATATGACTATACATATGTACTAGAAAATGTTAAAATACAAGAATGATGATAAATATATCATACTATACTTGCATCCATATGAATAATGGATTATTAAATATGGATTGAAACGAACAAACAGGCATATGCTACTATCAAAAAAATAAATTCGACTTAGTAGCCGTACATCTTTCACTGGCTTTACCACGCCACAAATTATAATACCCTCGATTAAAATAAACGCCTTGCTGATTTAAATATAAAATTGGTTGGTGTTTTGAACATAGTTCCCAGTATAAATTAGCCTTGCAGCATTATAACATATCACTGGAAGGGTGTGGGTGTGGGTGTCGGTGGACGTGGATGAAGAGATGGTTCACCCACACCTACACCCACCCACATTCACACGCACACCCGCCCACACCCACACCCACCCACACCCACACCAACACCCCACACCCACACCCACCCGCACCCAAAATGAAAAATATTTTCAAACTTCTGATAAATACATTTACGTTTTAGTCCTACCTCTTGTATGTTCACTCAGGACAGAAAGTGAAGAGTATCGAAATTAGAACGCATAAGCCACTGTAGTACAATGGTAGTATAACGGTTTGTCTAACCGAAGAACAGGGTTCAATTCCCTGCAGTGGCGCAGTATTTTTATTTCATAATTACAAAGATACTTGCCAAAACATGATTTGGGAGTGACTCATCTCGTATGGTAATTGCGTAAGATCATTTGTGAAGAACGAAATTATTTTGTTTTCGTATTGACCTTCATATTTACATATACCTTTCGGTTTTTTTAGCAGGATGACACTCTAATCAGTCGAGTTTTTTCCATGTAAGAACAGCTTCTTATAGCATGAACTTGTTACTATCAGTGAGAATTATGTAAGTGGTCATAGACGTCTCCTTATAAAGCAGTTTTTCTGTCTCATTTGTACACACCCCTCATTAATACAAATATGAAAACGATGATGAATAAAGCAAAGATCACTGGTTGCCGTGCTGTAATTGATTAAGTTACATCATAAGTATATTAGTGATTAATAGCTATTATATTGTTATTTCTCTTTCTTATATTTGTTTTAAACAGAAAAAAAAAGAGAATGACATTTATGAAAAACAAAACTCGCTTCGCTGAAAGTCAAAAAGTGTTTTGAAATGAATAAGCAAATTATCAGGATAGTTCTTTGCAAAGAACTGTTCAGATCAAACAGCTTTCATGAGATAATTGATGTTGTAAGCGAAATAATCTATTTCGAATTCAGTTCCGATAGATAATAAGCCATCCTAAAAACTTTGTTTTTGAAAATAAGGTTCTCTCTCTCATCTAACAAAGTTTTTACAAATTTGAAAGTATTGGTTGAAAATAAAAACAACACAGAATTTATTGGACAAATCCATTTTGAAAATGAATTGGTGGGATGTAGCAATCGATGAATGAATGAAAAAAACCACTTAGTTACTAATCGAAACAAGATGCATCTTTCACTGGATTACATTGTCTATTTCAATTGTTTTCAAGTTTTAAGTATGAAACACTTAAAGTAGAAATCTGTCGATACATGAAATGGAAAGAAATCGTCAAGTAATGCAATTCAGATTTCAGAATGGATATACAAAGAATAATTGCTACACTGATCTAGAGTAGCAAAAAGATCATATATTTTGAAGTAAAAAATGATTAGATACTGCTAACTCAATGTTATTTAAATTCNCATATTGAAATAAAAGAGGATGCAGTAATAATTTATATTTATTTATTTATTCATGTCAATTATTTATTTATATATATGACATGTAGAATTTTCGACCATTTTCAGTTGGAACCTGCTTGTAAATGAGGATGTTGAATAATGTGAATATGGAAAGTTGGGAAAGGTTGGTGAAATAATTTTTTTTTGTCACTATGTAGACTCATTTGGAGTGGTATTAAATGGTTTGTGGAGAAGCGGATAAAGATTGGAGAGAATGTTGTCTTTGTGGTGTGGTGTATGTGGGCTAGAGTGGGAGGGGTGCTATTTAGTTGGTTTTTTATGGTAGGTCTCGGGTCCATTGATATTTATTATATTGAGGTGGTATCAGTTTAGAAGAGTGGCATCTTTGTGATATAGTGGAGTTCGGGAAATGGGCAATATTTATGTGATTACTGTGGTTTTTCTCATAGGGTGTTCGTTGATGTCGGTATTCAGAACCGACTGCGGGAATACTATTTTAGTTGTTGGGCACGTTATAATTAGTCTGAAGTGTGTGGTTTTGAATTTTATATTTTTTTACGAGTTATTTTTGTGGAATGGGGTTCTGAAACTTTTCGGATTTTCTCAATGCTTAACGACGGTTGATAAGCGATGCTTCGGGTCTGGACAGTTTGTTTGTGTAATTGTCTGATTTAAAATTGTTGTTGATTAGTCCTTTATGCGCATGATTTTGTGAATATTTTCTTATTGTTATGGCTTTTTTGTTGTAATCCTCGGTGATGAATTTTGGAATCTTTTTATGATGTTAGTCCTGTATCATGTCTGTGTTGTATGTATTTTCTCTCTTTATTATTTGTTTTGTGTTGTACGTTCTCTCTCTCTCTGGCATTATGGGGTGTTATATTTTGTTCACATATTCACATCCTTGTCGTTCAGTTATTGTATGATCTCATTTTTTTCGATAATCGGTAAGTGTGAGTTTTTATTGTTTCGGTAATGTGGATCGAGGTGTTGAATATCTTCGTTGGCTATGCTCACGAAAAGTGCGGTCTATGAAAGAGTTGGTTTTAATGTGAGATGTTGTCGCAGGTTTTTGTTTGAATGCTATGTTATATTCGTTGTTTTGTAGGTTTTAAAATAAATGTCATATACTAGTATTCTTTGTAACTTATTGCATTGAGTAGCTGAGATAGTGTGTATTACTTTTGGGAATATCTGGGATCGAAAATGCGATTTCGATGGGGGATCATGACCTTTTATGATATATATCGTCTCTAGTCACATATGCGGATCAATTCTTTTTTTTGTGAATATTGTCAGATTCATTTCCATGCCGTAATCTGTATGTTCAAAAGATTTTTGGAAAGAATAGTATTGGTGTAACTAGAAAAACTCTTTTCGATTTTCGTCGGCATGGTTCACAACTGGAGTACTTTATGCGAATTATCACATCTGAATTGAAATAGGAAGTAACTGTAAAAGTAGATGAGTTCATAAAATTTTTCGTTATTATTTATCATAATTATTATTAGTAATAGTAATATGAAAGTTCCTACTAATACGGGAGCAATCACTATTTATTTTGTCAAATGACTATTATGAGTGACGAATGGTATAATGGAAATAGAATTTCACATGCAAGAGTACATTGTTGACATATGTTGATTTAGAGTATACAAGTTTGGTTATTATTAATGTCAGTAATGATTAACTCCGACGTGAAGGAGAGATTAAATACATCCCTTTGGTTTAATTGGCTTAGAATAGTTACTAGTAAGCAGTTGGTGCGCAGTTCGAATCCTCGAGGGATTTTTTTCCATTCTGTCATATATACGCTGCATTTCAAAATGGATCACGTATGATTCTTGCATTTTCAGAACACATTTTTTATTTAAAAACTATCATATATAAAAATACGTTTTAGTCATGAATAATCAAAATTCATCATCACTCAACTTTTTTGTATTGGCTGATAGCCATGGCAGATATTTTCCTCGAACATTTACAACATCATCATATAATTTGGTCTCAAAATTTGTACCAGGGCTGAAATGGATTGATAATCATCATCAAGAACTATCTGTATATGCATTATTATCGTCACCAGAAATCCAATTGTCTTTATCCCAAGCAAATGCAGTCTTATTCTTGGTTGGAACTAATTCTGTTAGAATAATGTCTGCAACGAAAATTATCCTTCAAGTCCAACAAGTGATTCTTTTTCTCCAACAAACGTTTCCCCATCTTCATCAAGCTGGAAAAATCATAATTGCTTTAACTTTTCCTTCTTTCAATACAACACATAGATTTCCAACTCGATCGTTCTTAATGTCCAACATCAACTTATACAATGAAAAATTAAAATTTTTATCGTCCCAAATGAATTTCACCACTATCGATCTTCACATCACTCGGCACCATCTGCAAAACGATAATATGCATGTACAATTTCGTTTTAATGATCTGATTGTCAATTCCATTATCATCCATTTTAATCAATTAATTCCAACACCATCAACAACATCAAATTCAACATTGGATGAAACAAAACCTTCTCAATCCTCGTCTAGAAGTCGAGAAGCAATACAATGTCGTAATCAACAACGTCATGAAAAAAGAAAACTTAAACGACGACAACATGTAATAAAAAGAAAATTACATCATCAATGGACTATACCCCAAATAAAACAATATCTTGATTCACTTCACGTACGGTATGCATATATTCCACACTTCTACAACAACATTCTTCGATTACAATTTAATAACCAACAGGATCAAGATTTTGCTGATAGTAAATTAAGTATTGATATTTTTGATGGAAATCATTATAAAAGTTTTAAAAATGATCAGGCATCATAAATGTTATTCATTATATTTTTCTTTTCGTTTTTGTCCATATTATTTTTTTTTCTTTAGCTGCTTTTTTCTAAGTTCATATATGTATTGATGTGTCATTTGTTATTTGTTTTTGTTAAAGCTGTCTTTTTCTAATTCATTGGATAAAAACAAAGTACTCTAAAAAAATATTTAAAAAAATTCTATGCATTTAATTTAGAAAAAATTAAGTGTTTTATCAATGTGAAGATGGGTATTTAATGATTCACAAGCTAACAGAAATAGATATAAACTAAAGAACGAAAAAAAAGTTAACAAGTGTATATTTCTCCAACCAGAAACCTTAGAGTTGCCTCTACCATGAATTGAGTTTGTGTTAAGAGTGATCACAAAAATGGGTGATTCATGATAGAGGAATTGCAAGGCTTCTGATTCGAGAAACAAACATAAGTAAACATTTGATAATGAATCATTGAACAGCTGTCTTAACTAAGGCAGTTACACTATTTCAACGTGGACATCCTTATTTATTTTAAATCCTATAACAAAATAAAAAAGTAAATACAAGAATAAAATGAAGTTGAAAGCTATTGATAAAGCTGTGAAACCGGTACTCAACTTATTTCCGCCAATAGTACACATGTTTCAATTTGTTTTAGATTTTTTCAGAGAAATGAAAATTTCTTACTATCTCAAATCATTTTTCACCAACTATATATGTATTCTCCTTTTTCGATTTCAGATTACTACCTGCTATTAACTATCAGTGCTATTATTATCAGTGATAAATCTTACTTCTGTCATTTGGTAATATTTAGATTTTCTTTGAGTTTCATGATTATGTCCTCATTATTTTTATTTAGATTTCATTTATAATCAATAATAATATTATTGTTATTGTTGTGATTGTTATTATTGTTGTCATTATCGTTATTATTGTCACTATTGTGATTCTTGTTATTATTGTGTTTTTTGTTGTTGTTACAGGTGATGAAAAAGTTTCTGGAATTATTTTCGATTCTTACTGTTTGACGCCCTGAAGGAGTTTCTCTTTTACATTTAAATAGTATCAGCTCTTGTTAATTGATTGAAGAAACTAACCATTTTATTGTTCGCTGTTGGTTGATTTAGAGCTTATTCTTTCTAAATGTTATGTTTTGAGATAGATAAAACAGATATTCGATACTACATCTTAGCATGATTCAAACTCTGCTATAAAACAAAGCAAATTCATGCAGAATTGTGTAATGCATAGAGGGAAACTTTATGTGTTGTACACCATAGCAACTGAACGAATATAACATTTTAGACAAGATAGAAGCTCTACCGAAGACAATCCCAGAATTGATGGACCAGTAACCAAGGTTATCGACGAAAATATCGAAGTCATTTGTGTATTATTAAGGAAAATCCACACATTAGCATTCGAAATATGATATTTGAGACTGATCTGCCGGATGTTTCTATCAGTAGAACCATTCATTATGAACTAAAACTGAAAAAGTTATGCGCAACATAGATACTGTATCAGGTGACCGAAAAATCTAAGCAAAAACAAATTCAAATCTTTCACAAAAGAGATTAAAACATTTCTGAAGAAACTTATTTGCCTCACTTGTTAGTATCTGGTTTTTGGTTATCTAGTTACCTAAACGTCAGTTAGGTAGTTACCCTGATTGAAAACCTTGCAATAGGCTATAACCAAGGGGATTCGTTCCATATCACATGATGAGTGTTAAGGGACATTTAACAAATAGGCTGACATTTCGGAACTCTGTATAATAAATAGGGGTGAGTGCTTTGAGCATTTGATGAAGCATGAGTTTTGAAAACTTCATTTACTCGATAAAAATCTGGATGTTTCGGGAACTTTTTAATCATCCAATATATTTTTTATTATTAGTCTTATTCTTATCATTATTATCATTGCCAATAAATCATTTTATTATTATTACCTTTCCTATTGCACTATTTATTATTCCGATTATTTTACGATACTCTAAGGTGGTAAGCTCGTTTAAGTGTGAATTTTTCTGTCTCTATAACAGATTAGTCTGGTTAGCATATCTTTCTGCCTACGGTCTAACGTGGGTGGTTGTTTCTGATTGTGCTCTAACAGCTCATAGTCTGGTTAATACATCTTTTTGCCTACGGCCTAACGTGGGTGATTGTTTCTGAGTATTCTATAGAGGGAATAGTCATACTAAAAAAAGCATTTTACTTATACCATTTATCGTCTTACTATTTACATAATTATGGATGCCCAAAATGTCGAATCGTACCTCATTTGTAATCATGGTCGTCGTGCATTAGTTACTTATCGTTCCGTAAAAAAATACTACATTCGTATTGAAACTGTTCGATTAGATATTCATTACCTCAAGACTTGTCGTTCTAAAGATATTATACCGGGTTTTTTGTGGTTCAAGACTGCAAATGAAAACCTTCGATCATCACATGAATATAGAGAAAGTCAGCGCCGTCTTTTAAATGCTGAAGTCGACTATAAGTACCAACATCTAAATAATGTCAAAACATCGTATCAAACATCACTTAATCTACTTCGAGAATGTTGTCCCGAAAACATATTTCAAAGTTTACAGGAAATAATTACCACCATCTGTAAACCTATCTTGGATAAGAAAAAAAAAACGATCGAAAACAAATTATATAAGCTTCATTATGTCAATGAACCAAAACGCAACGTCGATCGTGGAGTTGTCAAAAATCTCTCGACACGAGTATTATCTGATGATGAAATCGATTGTCTTGCTCATGGTCTTGATTATGGGTTACTTCCAAAAAATTTTGATAATATGAACGCTGTTGGAAATATCGAACGATTTTTCCATAACGTTACAGACATATTTCAAAAACAGAAGAAGCTCATGGCAGACTTGAAAGAGAAAGATGTAGTCATACAGAATGATGTTCGTGTTTTGAGCAGCAAAGAATTAACGTTAGCTTGTAATCTACGTAGTTTAACAGACTCATTCCGTTCACAAGCTAATCGATATCAACAACAGAAACATCTTATTCGAACCGAACAAAAAAAATACCATCAATTATTAAAACAACTGAAACAAGACAAGTCTATAATCGTCACTCGTCCTGATAAAGGGCGAGGAATTGTACTACTTGATAGAAATGATTATATCTCAAAAATGAATGCAATCCTTAGTGACACAACCAAGTTTTCTAGTCATTTTGATGATCCTACGATCCAAAGAGAACGTCGTTTGACAACTTTGTTGAGTAGATTGAAAAAAGACGGTCATATTACCGAAGAATTTTACGACATGGCTCGACCAACTGGATCGAATCCTGGGCGACTCTATGGGTTGCCCAAAACACACAAAACAGATGTTCCTCTTCGACCAGTTCTTTCATCTATCGGAACATATAACTACGGTCTTGGTAAGGTGCTGAAACAAATGTTGTCAAATATGATACAGAACGAGACAGTCATTAAGGATTCCTTTGCATTCGTTAAGGAGTTAAAATCATTATCTAAATTGTCACAATGCAAGATGGTCTCATTCGATATTGTTAGTCTTTATACCAACATACCTCTTGCTGAAACAATACAAATCATTTTGGACCATCTATATAAAGATCGGACACCACCAACAACAATACCTAGAGATGATATGAAGAAATTGTTGGAGTTTGCCACACAAGATTCACATTTCCTCTTCAATGGTAAAATATACGATCAAAAAGATGGAGTTTCTATGGGATCGCCTTTGGCACCTCTTCTTGCTGAGATTTTTCTCCAAGATTTCGAAAAGAAACATCTTTCATTATTTAAAGAAAAGGGCATTGTATATTGGAAACGTTATGTCGATGATACCTTTGTATTACTTGATCCAAAAGTTTCTGCTAAGGGCATTGCCGCCCAACTATCACAATGCCACCCATCCTTGAAATTTACCTGCGAAGAGGAATATACAACTATGAAAAAGGATTTAAGTAAAGAAGGTTCATCGCAAAAGAAATTTTCACATAAAAACCAATACACAGCCGAGAAGAGAGTTTCAACTGAAGAAAAAAAGTCAACTCCTAGAATTGCGCTTTCATTTCTCGATGTACTTGTTGAAAGACAACCAGGCATCGGCTTTCAAAGTCGCAAGTATAGGAAGGAGACATTTACTGGTCTGCTTACAAAATGGGACAGCTTTGTACCAAAACAGTATAAATATAATGCAATTTCAACAATGGTTTATAGAGCTACGAGAATATGTTCAACTTATGAAGCTCTTCATGATGAATTTGAGATCATTCGTGGATTAGCATTAGATAATGGGTATCCAGTTCCCTTTGTCGAATCCATAATTCGAAGGCAACTTAATCTTATATATACACCACCTGCAATCACACCAACAGCATCTGAAACAGATACCGTAGTCTTGAGAGTACCTTATTATGGGAAACCAAGCCAAATATATGCTAAACGCGTTACGGCAGCAGTCGCTAAACAATATCCTATAAAACAGGTACGAGTTGTTTATGATGTAACAGCCCGAATCAGTCAGAACTTCACCACCAAAGACCAGATACCAACAGAACTAAAATCTGGCGTTGTTTACGAGGCAACTTGTCCTCAATGCAAGGAGCAATATATTGGAAAAACCTGCCGTCATTTGAAAACACGAATGAATGAACACTTAGCAGAACAGAAAAAAATATTATCTCCAACAGTAAAAGTACCTGAACCAAAATTAAATTCGAATGTGTCATCAAAAAAAGTAATCGGTAATCACAATTTACATCTGATGATGACCAGGTCAAAATCACATATGATAAATATTGAAACCAATCAACGAAAATTATTACCTAAAGCTCTAACAAAAGCAGGTAATAATCAGAAACAAACAGAAACAACGAACACAACAAACGAAACCAAAATCCACATGACTCGGTCACAAACTAAAAAAGTACCATTTATTAAAACAGATTGCAAAAAAGTAGAAACTGATGAGCTTCTACAAAGCGTGATTCAAGTAGACAAAAAGGCAAATAACATGATTCCTAAATCTGCCTTGGCCAAACATTTTGTCTCTACTGGACATGCTTTCACTACCGACGACTTTAAAATTTTGTTGTCCGATCGACATCGGTACCGATTATTAATCAAAGAATCTATATTGATAAGACAAAGAGAACCAAAGCTTAACGGTACTGATCGATCAATACCACTGTATATCTTTCCGGATGGAATTTCAAAAAACACCAAACCACCATCAAAATCACTAAGAGATGCACCAATTCCAGAAAATTGACGTCAAAGATGCTACTTTAGTGGATTTTTGTGATGTGAAAAACCACATTCCGACCATTTTTTGTGTTAAACTTGACCGCCTTGAATCGTTCTACCTGTAATGGTGGCCGGACTGCGCTAAACACAATTAAATGTCGACAGAATTTCTATGAATTGATTAAAAATCCTGAACTTTAGACCTATTCGGATAATTCTGACATCTTTTGATTGTTTTAGTGCAATCCGGCAACCACTACAGGTAGAAAGATTCAAGGCGGTCAAGTTAAACAAAGAAAATTGGTCGCACTTGCTGATTCTTCACATCACAGAAAAAGCATCTTCGATATCGGTTTTCTGCAAGTGGTGCATCCCTAAACCCAAGTATTCCCACATCTGACCAACAAACGAACTTAGTCATGCACATATCCGTTCTCTAAAGTAACTTAAAAACATCACATTTCCGATCCATCGAAAACCAACCATTGAACAAAACGACCATGAAAATCAAACTTCAACTCACAATCTACTCAATCAACCACGCAAGTTCGATGTGAAAGAAATTTCACTTCGTGCTAACAAACATAATGCATCAATTTTCCCTTCAACTGTGAATCTAGAATAATCCAAAACCAAATTTCTACCATATTTCAACATCCATTTTTCCAAAACATGCCTTAATCATTTGACCCTGACAAAAATCAATCAACTCCAAAGCTACCTACATCTATTTGTCAAACAAACACATCACATCACATACTATACAAACACACAAACATACAAAGAAATCCCCATATTACCGACCTAAGTTAAACTTTAAAACCAAAGTTAAGTACTGATGATGACCGAATATACAAGCAGGTTCCAACTGAAAATGGTCGAAAATTCTACATGTCATATATATAAATAAATAATTGACATGAATAAATAAATAAATATAAATTATTACTGCATCCTCTTTTATTTCAATATGATTTTCGTTTATTATTCAAGTTGAAATATTAAAATATATATAATTATCAATCAAAAGTATTACACAAATAAAATTAATATATATTATTATATGATAATTAACTTGTTTTATGTTAAGTGCATGTTCATTGCATATTCTTTTTCGATGTATTATCAAGTATTTAGTCAAATTATTCATTCTTACTGTTTTTTTCTCTTATTTTATTTTTTAGTAATCTTGAAAGGAATAAAAAAGAATCTTTATAGTGAAATTTGATAATGATAATATTCACCAATGATTTAATATTGTTTGAATTTTTCTGAATTTCTTTTCAGGAATAAAATAGAATGAATTTCATATTTCAATTAAGAAATGAGTTAATTTTTCTTTTTCAGTTATTCTTAAATATTCTCATTCCAAGTTTTCTTGTCTTTTTGAAAAATTATTAAGATTTATGCGTAGAAAATTTTCAAATTATAACATGGAAGCGAATGAAGAAAAACTCATTAGTTAAATGGAAAGATTTGAAAAATTTCGCACACATAGAGAAGAATTTGAGCAATATTTTCTATCTAATTTAATATAAACTGACCATGAAAAAAGACGAGAAATAATATATCTGACTGCAAAAAATGATGGAAAATATCTTTCAATCTAACGAATATAAAAAAAGATGAACGTCTAAATGTCGTTGAAATAATTTAAAAAAATATCAATTAAATCCTTTTATAGAAACATCTTTTGAATTATCTGTAAATAAACATTTTCATAAAAAAACTCAATATTAATTCAAGAGAGAATAAATAATTTAGGGTGAAATTTTTTAAAAATAGAAACGGATCACGTTAATTAAGATCTATATATTAAAATCTTTGATTTTTTTTGTCTTACTAGAAAATTATAAAATATTTATTCTGAAAAAAACAATATCGTCTTTCATGAGATTTTTCAATAAAAAGAAATTTTAATAGAATAGTTCGATGTTTTTTTAATCTATCTCATTACATATACCAAGTCAATTTCATTGAATTGTTCTACAATATTTTATTAGAATATTTACTTTTTATACTTTGAAATTTTAATTTAATTAACAAAATAAATTGAATTATGAAAATGTTTATTAATATAATTTAACTTTAAACATAAGACACGAAGGTAAAAAGAAAAAATTAAACAATAGTTTTATTATTGATTAGAATTAAAATATAATTAGCTGTTTATATCGTCTGTAAGAGATATTTTTAGAAAATAAAAATCATTATATTATATCAAGTTCAATCAAAATATTTCACATTATATTTATATATTCAAATATATTGCATTTTAATCTTATGTTACGTTACACTTATATTGAATCTATAGCAGAAATTTTCATTAATCAACTATTATATAGAGAGAAATATATTGAGAAAGAGCACATTCAATTTTTTTTATATGTATTTTGTTTTTTTTTTTTAAATATATTTTAATAAATAGAATAAATGATAAATTATACTCAAAATAAACGATTAATAACGAAAAACGAATATTATCTGAAAGAATTATTCAATAATTTATTTCAATGAATATTATAGAAAAACAAATGAATTATATCGTTTTTTTTTCTCAATACATATATATATGCTTTGTATAGATCGTATCAGAAAAAAGTGATCATCAATCACGTATTAATATAAAATATGTTATACTAATATATCTATCGTATTTACCAACAATTTTATCCATTTGATTATTCTATTAAAACTATGTTTATTTCTTGTTTGAGTTTTGTTTTCTAAAATTTCAATTTTGAACATGGAGCTTATGGCATAGATTATTTTATATCATTTCATTTGTTTACTTCAACGTACCCGAATAGATAGGAATATTTAACTTTCAATTAGCTGAAATAAAACGAGATAATCAGTGGCGTATCCAGGATTTTTAGACTAATGCGCAAACTTCTCTTATGGTAGAAAAGAATGATGGGCGAAATGGGCAAGATTTTCATTGATGGGCCAAAAGTTTTTTCGCCAGCCAAGTACTGATAACGTAAAAAAAACACAAAAAAAATGAAATGAGGTTCTTCTAATGAAATATGCATAAAAGTCACATCTTAAGCACGCTCCACCAATAAAAGTCAATTTTCGTTAAAACATGAAAGTTGAGATAAATATGTGAGAAGTTAGCTAGAAGTCTGCCCGTTTAAAAGAGATATAGCTTTTTATTTCGTACATCGGTTTTAGCGAAATTTTTGATGTTTTTCGTCATCAACTACCTGAAAAAAAGCTGGTTTTTGATGAAATCGAAAAATCGTTTTCGTTGTTTCTCAATTCATGATTTGTCAAATGCTCAAAACCAAACTCCTCCGCTCAGGGTAACTATACTGAATGGTCCAAAAGTACCGAAGCAGTCTTTAATTGCGAATAACTTTTGATAGAAACAAGCTAGAGAGCTGCGATTTTCGTCGTTTAAAAGAGAAAAAAAACTGCATCGAATCTGAAATACTAGATTTTTATGACAATATTCACTCGGAGTCTCCAGACATTTTTTGTAATAGAAATTATTGTGTAATGTGCACGTTTTAGAATTTTAATTTTCAGTGGTGCATCAGAATCGTTAACTACGGTTCAATAATCTCTGTAGATTCAACGCCAAAAAGATTTAGCAAACTATTAGTTCTTAACATTTTACTACGCGTTCTTGGCAGATTCTTGGCGAAAAGCCGAGTTTTTCCTCATATTTTGACAAAAAATCCACCTTTTAGACCTATTTAAAAGTCTAAGTTTTTTAAAGAAGCTTGTCCGGAAACCATGAGAAATTTTGTTATAAAAATCCGGTATTCAAGATTCGATACAGCTTTTTTCTGTTTTAAACGATGAAAATCGCAGTTCTCTAGCTTGTTCCTATCAAAAGTTATTCGCAATCAAAGACTTCTCCATTACTTTTGGACCACCCTGCATACGTTTAATTTTTTTTGAAGCATGTCAAAACGTGCGGCACCAAAGAGTCCTTCATTTTAGTTAAGCTTTTTCCTGTCATATGCACAATCACTTTTATAAATCGAACTCCTTTTTTTAGAGAGTTTTTTGACTCATCAAAATTGTAATTCCTTCTCTCCTTTCAAGAAATAAAAATTTAAAAAAAAAGTCGTTGGTGCCCTGCATCTTGGCATGCTCTTTCCATAAAAAAAAATTAAATATATATAGACCCAATGCCGAGAAATTTAGAATGCCGAATCAGCTATTTCTGAACCTTGTTTGGTGAATATCTCTGCCAAACGTCATGGTATAGAACTAAAAATTTTACCATAGCTTCTCCATTACAGCTACAATAAATTCTCCAAATGTCATGGCATTAGAATGTTCCTGGGCTGAGATCGATTTTAGAGAGTGGAGAGACCTTAAGATTGAGCCATGTGTGTTTAGTCTATTTTGAATGTATCTATTTATAAGATTTATATTTCAAATTGAAATACCTAAATCAATATGACAACGATGTATATGTGTATATAATTTCCATATTGCATCTGAATTTATATCGAGATCTTTATCGATGTATGCAGCAGCGAAGAAATAAACAATTCAAAAAAAGTAAAATTTCAATGGGCAAATCTTAAAATGAAATGGGCAATTGCCCATTTGCCTCCCCCTTGGATACGCCACTGGAGATAATATACATATAGTGAAATTGAAAAATTCAATCATTAAGAGTTGTCAATATAGATTTAGTAGTTTTAGTCTTATTTATAGTTTAAATTTTTTATCAAACCATCATTCTCTTATGCAAAACGAACAAAATACAATAACTTAGTTACACTGTAAAAGATATCAAGTAGAATACTTTAATAGGAATATTCGATTGCTTCATGAGAAAAAACTTCAAAAAAGAACTACAAATTCTCTATATAACCTACTGTGCAAAAGTCTTGGCACAAAATGTTTGTTTATTTTCGGATCAATTAAAAGAAACTAGTGAGAGTCAATAATAACCAGAATTCTGTGCTCTTTCTGAATATGAACTCAGAAATTTTGTGTCTGTTTTTATTCGAAAGTAATGATTAAATATTTGAGAGATCTAAAAAGATTAGTTTG